CACCTAAAGAGCTCACGATCAGTAGAGAATACATCGGCGAAATTGTAGGAAACATAGCTGTAAGGATTCCGACAATTGGGGAAATCATAACTCTAGACCTCCTTAATTTAGTCTCCAACCCTTTGTCTCGTTAGTTGATAATTTTATCGCTTTCTAGTATTTGCTAGTTAATTAGTTAGAAATATAAATCTCAATCTTTATAATTTAGAAAATTGTTCAAACTTGTCTTTTTAGTGATATTAAACAGATATAGCAAAGCCTTAGTTCTCTGTGGGATTCGACTCCAAACTTTTAGATTGGATTATATTTGCAGCGACCGCTTATCCTTTTTAGGACTAGAGTTGGGCGTGACCAATGCCTCTAATCATACGCCCCAATTTTAATAGATCCCTTCAATGGGAAAATTCTCTTGAAGTCGTCCCTGAGTTTGTCAATCTGTGGTCTGTTTCTTGAGAACTTTCCCACCACAATCAACTTGCATTTTTCTGCTAACAAGTCATCCTCCTCCTTTGAGAATACTACTCTCGCTTTTCCTTCCACAAGTTCATAAGGCTTGTGCTCCAGTCGCACGTCTCTCCTTCCTCCTCCGCTCGAGAAACCATCCAGCGCAGTCAAATAACTTGACTTATTGAGGAATCCGTCGACAGTAGGGTTGGTGAGTGTAGTATGCACTCCCTGTTGATTTCCTCATTGCACGTTGCCGATTGGATTCATGGTAATGAGATTGTTTCTGAGAATTAGAATTTTGCCCTAGACATATGCTTCAACATATAAGTTGTAACAAGAAAGAAAGAAGACATTAGAATGTATAACACAATTAAAATGTGACCAAATTCTCTTTGCTTTCATTCCGTAAAAAGAAAATTTTAGATGTATTTTTTGCATTTGCAGTTCGTTTTTCTCAGAAGTTCACAAGTAATACACAAAAAAGTTACTCAAATTACATTCAGCCCCCAAATAAATATCAAAAGTTGACATTAATGAGATTTGTTATAATTGCATTATATTACATTGCTATCTGCATCTGGTTCAGAAAGTATGCAAAGTTGCATTATCATATCAATAATATTTTAATAATTTAATATTATGTATTTTGAATTCAATAATTTCTTGATAGAAACATAAGTAACTGTTATTTTATTTATCATGAGCGAGGGTTAATTTTAGAACATATTTGAAAAGCGATTTTTGTTATTTCCTGGTACACTACCATATTTGCCCTACATTGACAATATCATAAGGGTTCGTGCCTTAGTGTCTATACTATCATGATTCAGTATTAATTGTTTATTGGATAAGATCATGTTACAAGTGTTGTCCATATTTACTATTAGTTTTTAAAACTCTACATCATATATAGTAAAACTTTGTTAGCTACAACTATT